GAAGGTGAAATGAAAATTTGGACCGCGGCCGGATTCGAACTAGCGCCACCGGGTTCGGACCTCATAGCTGAGTTAGTAAAACATCTGGCCGAAAACCCGGTGGTCGCTGGTTCGAATCTGGCTGCGGTCCAAATTTTCATTTCATCTTCAATCACCCAGTCTGTTAGAAATGTTCCTTTTAGCCAATCATCTGAAATTGATTTCTTCTCCTGTTCATATACGTAGTCCTCCTTGAAGACTATCTGCTATTTGTACTACTGTTGCTGCCATTATCATTGATACTATCACGGGTATTGTTATCAAAGTTATGTTTTCTCTGTTCACATATTTCTTATATCTCACCATCTTGTTATTTGTGTTGTATTGATAAGACGAATATTCATTCGATTTCTGTCTAGTTGAATTGGATAAAAGAGTTTAAGGGTTGTAAAAATAAAATTTCCACGTACTTATTATATTACTATTTATTGACACACTTGTTATTCTCCGTTGTTTTGTTGAATCGAATTGTTCGACCTCTATAGGCATATGGGCTCCTATGTGGATACCTCGATATTGCCGGGATGTTAATTATGATAAATTGGTTGGTTGTGGCTAGCAGAAGAATCCAGGACGTGCGTTTCGTCCCATTTGGGACTCGTCAGCTGGATGTGCCTGCATTCTAGTGATGTTGTTCTGCTAGCCACAATCAACCAATTTACCATACTTATTATAGTTATTATCTTCGAACATTTTATCGGCTTTTTGTTTTGTTAAGGCTTATGATTTGTATACGTATAAATTATCTTGCAATATGCTACTGTAAAATAAAAAACTGATATCGAACTTCGCAAATTTATACACATTCATGGTGTAAACAATAAAGTTTGCTCATTGTGTGAGCGCTATTGATATCACGTAGCTGCATAGATATCGGTAGGTGGAGTGGGGTCCGACCTCTTGAGCAGACACTCGTTGAAAGTCAATTACCTAAACCTATGAGTGACAGGTCCATGTATACTAGCATATATAAACGTCCATGGTGTGTATGTTTCTGTATGCGCCTTGTTAACCAGGAATCCAGTAGTTGCTCGTTAGTTATTCTCCAAACCAATTGAATTGAAATCAATAAGTAGGTGTTCTCTGTTGGGATACATTAATTTTAACAATATTTTGTATAATTTTTCTCTTATCATAACCATTTTGACGAATGATATAGAGCTGAAATTCTCATTATTATTCTTTCAAAGTGATCAACAATGATTATTATTCCTCTTCTGCTTTAAATAACAATCACTCAGATTAATGAGACACTATATCGTGTTTAGATTAAACAATAATCTGATGAGGGATGTGTAACAACCATAAACGCTATTCAGCAACAATATGCATATTTGCGTCTTAAGCCTTGAATGGCGCTTACTTATAAGAGTAGTGTCTGTTATTCAGCTGTTCTAGTTGAAGTTTATGAAACTATTTTCAACACAAACACAAAGTAGCGTTCACCACTACGAAATTTGCAGTCTACTGAGTGCAGCTTTACCGTGAAACAACAGGACTGTGGATAGGTGATGATGATCCATTAGGTAATAGATGATTAGTTAAGTGTTTATATTTCAAATTGGAGATGTATATGAATGTTAGTTTGACTATCTACGATAGCTGCGGTTTTTGTTAATTTAACCGAGGCAATCAGCAAGAAGCCTTGGATCTTAGTTTCCTGCTTGTTGGTACTCATCAACAAGGCGTTTCTGCAGCCCTGGTGGAACTTATTTTCCGCCTGGGATTCAAACCTGCGTCACTCATTGCTGTAGTCAGCGATGTTACCACTATGATATTCGGCCCGCAACTGACCTCCTGTAGGACTGGATCAGATATACTGATTGGTCACTGGAGGGTAATCAACTTCATTTTGTGTAGTCCTATGTGCTGACCAAATTCTGTCTATCATTTTGCAATGCGGCCACCAGTTGTGGCCGGAATAGCTCAGTGGTAACGTCACTGACTACAACACTGGGTGGTGCTGGTTCGAATCCCAGGTGGGTCATCAGTTCCGTCGACGTTGCAGATACGCCTTGCTGACGAGTCCCAACGAACAGGAAACCTAGGTCCAGGGCCTCCTCCCGATTGCCTCCACCCAACTAACATCTAGCAAAATGCATCGCGATGCTGATGTGCACTTAGGGCTAGACAGCATGAAGTTGGTTACCCTCCAGTGACTAATGAGAAATAACTAGGAGCCGTTACGCAATCTTGCTCTCTGTAAATGTTTCTCAGTGAGGGGACTGAACGCGTAAAATCTCTTAGCATTCTAATTAGCTGTCCAATCTATCGTACACTTTCACAATGAAAATTCAATTGTTATTGTCTAAAAGCTATGATGTTGAGGGGAAAAAATCATCCATTATGTCTAGTCAAGTGTTGCATCCAGTGTATACTTATAACAGCTAGGTGAGTGTGTGATTTGGACTTCAGCCAAAACGCAGCACTTTTTGTCTTGGTTCATCATCGGTAACCTTGTTGAAACACAAATCGTGTGTATAAAATTTTTCTTATATCCAGCATATTCTCAGTGTCCAAATAATACGTGTATATTCGTACTACTATGCCTTTATTTGCAGATAGGTTTCATCATGTACACATGTATGCACATCTTTTATCGTGAAAATGAAAGACAAGTAGAGATGTTTATTACTTTTAAAAAGATCAACTCTAGTAACTGTGGTTAGGCCCCTGGATTTATGATTTAGTCCAATCACTACCTTACTGTCAGCCTTGTAGGATGATGAATGTTACATTTTGATTTGTTGCATGTTGTTATAACTATTCAGCCTATCAGGAGCAGAGATTTTATGAGCCAATGACCTTGACCAAGTAAATTTCGTCTATTAACATCCATATATGCATATATAACTGTACACTTTAGTAATTGCTTTTCTCCAATATTGTATTAAAAAATTTCATGTCTGGATATCAACCCTGGATGATAAATGGTTTACACTAAATATTGGTTTATATACACTGTTTTGCAATGGAAACCTGACATAGTCGCACAATGTAAATAAATAAAGACTTCAAAAAAATTTCTAAATGATTTTATTCTAGCTTTTTTCTGCTTAGTTTTTAACTGATTATTGAGTATCTTCATTCCTGTAGTGAAGCTGCGTTGTTTGACTGTGCACTTTCATACCGTTTGCCAGGTGGCTTTTTTGTTATCAATATTTATATTGTAAGTAGTTGTTTGATAAAATAAAACATACAGAAACTGATGAAATTTTCACTTTACCTTCAATCATCACCGAGTATCAATACACTAGTCTGTCAAACCAAGACTATCTCAGATAGTCAAAATGAATTCGAAAAAGCATGCTGTACACAATTCATTCTTGCAGATAGGGTAACTTTTTACCCTTCCTTCGTCTTCTTCTTGTTCTCTTTCTAACATGATTTCTTCATTTATTCTAATTTAGACCACTTTTTTGTAACATACTAAATTGTCTGTCTGTCTGCGTTCAGTAGGATGAAATATCTGCTTCAGTTCAGTCTAACTGTAATTGCCGGGTGAAAACGCTGACAAACTTTAGGGTCTTCTGAATGCATTGAGGAGAAATTTGAGTATGTTTGACGTGCTTTTCTCATCTGTAAATGTAAGACGATACTTCAGTTCAATGATAGGGAGTGAAAAATGTTTACCGCTTCGCTCACTTCGGGAGTTGCATCAACTCGAATAGGGTGGTTTCTGACTAAATATGTCTTTTTTAGAAGCGATTATAGGTTTTTGATCACAGGTGTCTTCGTAACATTGCTCGCATTTGGTGGAATCACTGTATGGTCAATCTTGAGGTTAAACGAAGGGTACTAGGGATGATGGGCAAGTCCATTGATAAGGTTGGGAACCTTTGTCGAATGAGATGTGTTGCGCATCTCGAGTCCCTGCCTACCTCGACATGCCATGTTAAGGGAAGTTGAATTAGTTTGGAGGAGGGTTCAGGGTCGCCAGATGAAGTCGTAGCAACAGTCGATGAGGTCTTTGACAGTTTATCCGATCCGTGTTGGAAGATGTAGACTACTTGGTTGGCGTCCCCGAGATGAAAGGAATCAGTTATTGGTGATTCTTGGTGACATGACTGAAATTCGGCCACAATAATACAGATGTATTTGTTCCTTGACATCTGAAGCCTTATATCTGAATAACAACAAATACTACTGATGCTAAATACTGCTATTTATTATGATACATTTATACACTTTATTAATAATTTTTTTTAAACTATCTGTGTCTGACAAACATGTCATAAAACTCAGTCTCATTACTCAACAGTAATAGTAGGAGTCAACAGGACGTGTTAAAGTTTTGCTGCCGTGTGTGCTACCAACATACTTGTAAGAGGTGGTTGTAAAGCATTGCTTGCTCAAACTAGAATCCATTTAGCACGTGAACAAAGCATTACACTTGTTCAGCGACTTTAAAGGCTATCCTAACAACTGATGAGACAGCCAAATATATTCCTTTATTTCATAGAAAAGTACTTTTTCAGGCGAAATACCGAAGCCTGATTGATCATTTCTGCAGTTCTTATGGTATCCTTTATAGTCACACGATTTTGAGTGAGTCTTTAATGCCACCCTAACAACGACCGAGGTGACCAAATAGAATGCCTTAGGGGCCACCCTGGCAACTGCTGAAATGACCAATCAGGCTTCGGTATTTCTCCTTGAAAAGCACTTTTCCATGAAAAAAAGGGATGTAATTGGCTATCTCATCCACCAAATAGGTTTCTCCATTAAGGCTAGAAAGGCAGATTTTCATAAATATAGAAGTCTAATTGGTCAATTTACTTGTCGCTAAGGCGGCCTTTAGAGTCACTCTATCTGACCATTCACTAACCAGTTCTTGTTTTAGTGGGACAACTTGTCAAATTACTAAGTGGTGCTGTTTACAAGTGTGTATAATTCTAAGAAGGCTGCAATTCTGCTGATGATGATCTTTATCTTTGTCTTGAATATCTTTTTTGTTTTAGCATATTCCGGTAACTATTAGAGAATTGCAAAAATTACAAGTTCTTGACTTGGAGGAAAATCATTTAGAAAGTTTACCTCCAGAAATCGGTAAGTACATTTATTTTATTATTATTATTATTATTATTATTATTATTATTATTATTATCACCGATTTCCGTCACTGAAACACATGGTGGTGACTATGGGACGACTCTTTTTTATTAACTAGTCTACAGATTCAATTTCATCTGATTATGTGAGATAGCCGTAGCTTGACAGACTAGTATTTATACTGGGCGATGATTGAAGGTGAGATGAAAATCTGGACCGCTGTTGGATTTGAACGAGCGAACACCGGGTTCAATTTCTTTTAACATGCTAATAATGTTACAGAAATCAGTTTTTGGCACGCATCAGAGTTTTCGTCTCTAAAAGCAGTTCCTTATTACAAATCTCTAAAGTTTCTAATCAGGATTATATGAATTCATGTTAAAGACTAACATATGTTGTTTAACTGCTACTTACTCACTGCTAGTTACAACAGAAGAAGACAAGCACGTAGAAACAATAGTTTGTTAAACATATGACTAAATGAAAAGTAATATTGAATAGCTTAGTGAATAACTGTACATTTGTCGCATCGATATACCCACCCACAAGAAATCCCATATCCAGGTAATTACATCGATGCTTAGGGTTGCGACTAACATGTAGACTAATAGGCTAAAGACGCTAAATCATATTACATTGTTCATAGATCTGATTTGCTACCATTTATTATTTAGACATTCGATAACTTGTAAAGGTTTCATTCTCTGAAGAAGCGATTTCTTCGAAGTTGCGAAACGTAAGAGATTTATTTTCCTGCCCCATCAGAATTTTACAAACGTATTTCATTCATAATCCATCTACCTCAATACTCAACTTATTCAACTCTATCAGGTCAGATTTTAATCCTTAAGTTTATAAAACCTATGAACTTTGTTCTGACTTGTCAACCAGGTTTCATAAGTTTGGTCAGGTAACTTAATCGTTTGGAAGTATCTCGTAGATTTTTGCGCCTATCTGTCTGCTTCTAGTTTAGCAACAAATCGGGTCGCTTAACTTCATCATCAAAATCAACATACGAACAAAACAGTATCAACTGACTTTAGTCTCTTCCCTATAACTCTACACCTGACTTTTGTGTTACTCACGTGGCGACACCACTAAACACTGCCGATGCTAAGAAGGCAATGGTGGTCAAACACCTAAAGCCTTCTCCTGTCATTCAACTTTAATGCCTATGTTTCACAGTCATCGAGTAGAACAAAGAGTATTGCAGAGCAGTACACTCGACCCTTAATAAATGATCAGATATCGAGGTAGTGCCACAGATGGTGTGGGCTGGCAGAAACCAAGCGAGCCTTTTGTATGTATTCGTGCAGAGATTTCGTTGCCCACTGAGTCACCAGGTGTGATCCGACTTTCCAGGTAGGAGAAGTGTCCAGTGCATTGAACCACTTCACTACCTATTATCGACTGAGGTATCATTGAAGAGGAGTCCTGGAGCAATAGTTTACATTTGTGTGGCATGAAACGCATCTGAAATATTCTCAACTTGCCACTCAATGTGTGCAGAAGACTCTTGATGTCAGCGTCTTCATGTAACAGTACTATGTCATCTGTGTATTTTATGTCTACCAAGAATTCTCTTGTGATCAGGTCAATCCGTATTTGGTCAAATGACGAGAGGGAGACCTTCATATGAACACCTGTGATAAAACTGAATAATGATGAAGAGGGTGAGCATCCTTGACGGACACCACTCGACGTACATAGTTCACCTGACATCTCACTATAGGCTCTAACACTCCTATACTGGTGTTCGAGTAAAGAAATTTCACTAAAGTGATGTACTTACTCGGTTTCCTCTTCAGTGAGAGACATTGTCATAAGACGTCCCGATTAACGGAGTCGAATGCCGTCTTCAGGTCGAGGAATACAGATATTGTCGGGTGTTGGTAAGCGTGCCTATGTTCCAGAGGCTGGCGCAGTTTGAATATTTGGTTGATATACTCATGGCCAGGTCTGAAGCCTTCCTGGTTTTGTCGGACTTGCTGTTACCGAGCTCCACTCAGGCGTCTAGTGATTATGGAACCTAGAATCTCAGATACCATGTCATCTGTGCTTTTCACAAGAAGACTTCTCACCTTTTTTGAATTTTGTGGTTATCAGTGATTGAGACCAGTCAGAGGGGATTATATTCAACTCCAACGCATTAGTTAAAACTTCAGTCAACTTGACTAAAGATCACTCTACTACCGTCCTTATATATCTCAGAAACTACTCCACCTCGTCCATCTTGCCCTCGTTCCAAGTGACCTACCGTTTTCTGGAATTCTGTTAGTGTTGGGGGCTGTCTCAAAGTTACGTTCAGGATCCAACTGGATAATGGGCAACGCAATGGTAGATGGAGACCAGTTGGACTGTTTCTCGAAATGTCCCACCCATCGTTACAGTGGTCTCTTGTGAGTAAATCGCAGACTTTTCCTTCTCCGCTAGATTCTGGGTCGCTTAACTTATAATACACCTAATGAGGTACTAGTTTCTGGTGTCATTGTGTCAATCGGCTATTCATTATTTAAAAACCATTCATAAATCAAGCGGAAACCAATGCAACCAAGCACTACTATAATAGATAATGATGACATGGAGTTATTGTGTTGTAGATGATAGGATTTAGGCTTACAGTAGCTGATAACGTTGGAAAGATAACAGGCTACAAGTTGTTAGCAAAGTTGAAAATTTCGTATATTTCAGTTATGGCACAGTCTCCAAGTCGCCGATTACTTCCATGGTAAACATCACAGCTACTTTACAATTTATCGTCACTTTGATGTAATTTATATAATTTTGTATTCATGTTGGTCTAAGCTTTTAATTTTACTCGCTTGCTTATTTCTTGTTTTGTAGGTTATTTAGGTGAACTTCAACGATTGGTTGTTCAGTCAAACAGGCTAGTCAGTTTACCCAGGGAAATCGGGTAATCATTTAGTTGTATTATCTTCTTTGTTCAACTTTTCTGAATTTTCAAAATTTTATATAGATGTATGCTATGCGTGATTTTTTGAACTGAAACAGGTAAACATGTAGATATGAATCTTAAGTATTACATATGCCAGCGCTACGGACTGTAGTTATTATAATCCAGTTCAATCCAATGAATTCTAAGCACTAAGAACTAGACTGCTACATTGGTTACCCACTGGTAACTGATTCGTGTACGTAATCCAGTCCTACAGAGGGTCTGTTATGATATGGATAGCTTACTGGTTGAAACTGACTTCATCATTGACCGACATGGATTCAAATCGCTGAAGTGGAACCAGTTTTCTCAAAATTTAAGGTACACATTACTGATGAGTGCCAACGTTCACGAAACCTAGATCCAGGCCTTCCTGTCGATTGACTCCAACCTTGGAGACATTCAATACCTGCTGAGTTAAAGTTAAATTGAAGCGATAAATTTTAATCGGATTGAAAGGTCGATATTTAGTTAGCACTGAATAGAAGATGGTAAATCTTAGCTGGTCGTTTGCGTTTGATAGGTTGCAAAATGGTGGCCGTCACATTCACCAAGTGGTGATGAGTTGTAACCAACCCAGTGGGTCGATGGTAATGTACCAGCTACGAAATATGAAGGTCATGGGCACTCACAGCTGAGGAATCCCATACAATGACGAAGCACCTGGCCAACGCTCCCAGGTTTGCTTGAGAAACACAAACCGATATAATAAATAATTAATGATAGAAGCGTTACAAGGCGGAATATTATTTGTCTGCGTGTGGTTTGTTATTTTAAAGAAATAATTGCATTATTTCACAGTTAGAATATGTCTGATTAGTCTAAGCAATCAACTTTAAGGCAATCAGTCCTGGGTCGATACCTCACTTCACCAACCTTGGCTGTGGCAACCGAGTGTTAGATTAAGTATGGTTCATGACCTAGTGCATAGAACAATGTGTAGTATTCAGTTTCATTCATTTATTCTCACTTTCAGGAGTAGCAGTGTAATTCAACTTCTGTGTAAAGTTTTTTTAAACTACGTAATATCAACTACTGAATAGTAGAAAGGGAAATATTAAAAAACTGTTTTTTTTTCTCACACAGCACTATTAAAAGCTTTGAGTAGTATATCAAAATCATTTGAAGGACTGATTCCAGTTTCTTGAGTGAAGAAAAAGTTCTGTTTGAAGTTTTATTGAATTGATACTTGACCAAATCAGAATTTTTATTCTTCTATGGAATGTTTTACGTTTGCACCTAAGAATCTCGTAATGCTAAGGTGTTTCCTTAAAACATCAACCTTTTTCTGTTATGTATTTACCTAATCAGATAAGAAGATTGTAAAGTTTTAAGTATGAAGAAGTACATCGTTCGCTATGGAAGGCAGTAATATCCTGCCGAATTCCGCAGAAACTGGTGCGCTGAAGGTCATTTCTAGCAACCATAAGTAGGTAACACATAGATGTTTTCGTATCAGATGATTAGTTTTTTCGATGTGATAGATGTCGTGTTGACTAAGTTAACCTTCTGGTTATGCTGTATTCAACTGAATATAACCTTCACTTTTCTTTAAGTCGATTACCTCTCTGTGATCTATTTATAAAGACTCGGGGAAGCTGTGGCTCAGTAGTATATGGAGGTGACTTTTACTCACTGTGTCATGGGCTCGACCCCCACTTTATCCACCAAAATTTGGACAGCTAGGTAGTACCACTACCCCTATATACTAGGCGTGGCTCATTGCCTATGAAGACTCCAGGCGTTATACATATCTACCGTAAGACTTGTAAAAGTTTATTGATTAATAAGTTTGTTGTATAATAGACTCATATAATTTAAAAGATTTTCATCTATTTCTATTGTCAAGGTTATCTGTTCTCTGAACAACTTAATAATTGATATTCAAGCATAATTAAGTGATCTATTAGCTAGACTTATTCTATGCTAATCACATAGCTAAGTTTTGAGGAAGTAATTCTTTCGACTTCAAAGTTCCCTATTAAAAATATTCAGTACGAATGATTAGGTTTCATTGGTGCATTGAAACTGGTTGAAACACGGTGAAATATCACCTTCCTAGGAAAATGAACTTTTCAGTTGTCTAACTTAGTTATTTCAACTTGAAAGCTATCTTATAACAATCTAATCAATGCAAATTGGAAGTGTACACATTACTATTTAAATTTTATTCTTTACAAATCAGGCATAATAATGTATACAAAACGAATACTATTTCATCTTATCGTTACGAATAAGATAGATTGAAATTCTTGAAAAGTTTTATAACGATAAGCTATATTTTATGAAATCGATAGTTGACTAAATGATTTTCATTCCCATAATCTATTCTACTGTTACTGAATTATATATGCATATCCTATAACCTAGTGATTTGATATCGCCATACTTCATACTTGAAACGGAATGATCGAAAGTAGTTGAGACTAAAGTCTGTACTGTAAATACCATCGAGAAGTGATTTTATTTGAAAGATTCCTATTAGTTGACTCTCGCAATACATTACTAAATAAGACTACATATGAAAAGATAGTCTTTATCGTCATACTAACTCTAGATTATGAAATGTTTTACTAACTAGTTTATTTATAAGCGAGTCATATGAATCGAATGTTCATTGGTTTCTGTATCAACGCTAATTTTCTAAGATTCCTTCTTCAAGACGTATTACTCATCATTTGAAAATTGTTTACCTGAAAGTATTAATTTTTTTTTCAATTCATTTACTATAACTTCTTGTTTTGTATAATCTTTATTTTTATTGTATAATAAGTTTTACTTAAGTTATTATACTGTTTTTATACTTCACTTTCAGTCGTTTACAAAACCTGATATATTTGGCTGTAGGTGAAAATGATATACAAAGTATACCAAATGAAATAGGTTAGTATTAATATTCTTCAAAACTTTCAACTACTTTACTATACTCAATCTAATTGTAAGCTGTTTGTGGCTACAACAGCTAAAATTGTTAATAATTTTGATGTTTACTTTTCCTTTTAAATTGTCAGTAGTATTGATGTGTATGTGGTTATTTTACATATATCTTTATCCTTTGCTAGCCGCTCAGTTTCTAGACAAACGTAAAAGACGGTATCATGACAGAAGGTGTATGTTTACAACGTCAATAATATATATACAAAATACAAGGTTTATATGTATATTACAATGACCTTGGCTAATTTCATGCCTACTAGATATAAATCCTGTTGATTTTTCATCTCTTCAACCAATCTGATACTTACACGTTGATACACGTGTTTTTTTCCTAAACATTAGAAACGAAGCGATTGATTGAAAAAATCTTTCGAAATATTCAGCTTCTTATGAAGATTTTGGCACTTTCTGCACACTATAACATCTCCCCTCCGAAATAAAGATTAATAGTACAATGATGTCTTTTAATCGACTAATAATGTTACGTTGCATTGCAACAAACGGTTCCTGATTACCCACCTGATGAATTTGTGCTGTGGCGTAATCTGAAGTAACTGAATTGAAGCTGTAAATGAGGGGAATGATTTGCTGACATTTTGATGAACTTTCTACTCCCCACTTCAGAAAAACAGACTGAAAATCATTTTCAAAGACATTTCCCATAGCTTTGAATGTGGAATCCCAATATTGTACGGTAGCGAATTAGCGAAAATGCTTTACGTTCATCCAAACCAGTTATATGCATTTGAGCACTACCATAGGACTTTTAACAGTGAAATGGTTACATAACTTTGCCAACCATTCTGAACCAAATTCACTTAGACTTTTTGAGCAGACAGTGTTGTCATTCCGCTTGCCAACAAGTCTCAGTTTTTACATGATATCGTGAGATCTTGTGTTCAGCTTGAGTCAGAGTAATCTGGTTGTAGTTGGTGGAAATGATAAGCTACCTCACTGTGTGACGGATCGTCGTAGTCAACGCCACAGTGTACTAGCTCGATGACTTGCTTCTAACCGTCTGATGGACTGGGAGTGACCTGTGAACTGGAGTGGATTCGTGGTTCTCTAGTTGCCTGCTGGTTGGTGAATGTGATGTCTGGAGCGCAGCTGACTTGCAGAGGATCCTGGTGACCGTTTTCTCCTATGGACATAAATTTCCTTTGATAAAAAAATTCGATATCATTCGAGGCAACTACGTCAAATGATGCGTGTGAAGGGACTTTGAACACTATTGAAAATGTATTTAATTATCGATGCTGGTGTTTTAGGCTTGTACTAGTACTCCTTGATGCCTACCTTCTTGTGGATATTCATGTCGAGGTATAGTTGAAGAAAGGCTGCATAGCACCAAAACATGTTACATCATTTTGTAAACTCTCGACAAGTACTTCATAGTTTTCATCAGCATAATCTGACTAAATGTCTACATTATTTACTATTTCGTGGAGGGTAGTGGATGGGTTAATATTGTTCCCATTCATCGAAGTATTGTGATTCATATTATCACGTTTTTTGAACTCATTTTCGGCTTCATTATATATATATATATATATATATATATATATATATATATATATATATATATATATATATATATATATATATATATATATATATATATATATATATATAGTTTTCATCGTGCAGTCACACTGACTAACTCATGTTCACCATTTATTCTCTGAACGGTAGTCAATATAGCTATCAGTTACTGCAAACTCAAAACGATCAATCAAGTTTACAATTTATCCACTTGGTTATTTGAAGCAGGACTGAGATTTGATTTTTAGAAGTTAGGTCTTGTCTACAAGGAGGAAGCCGTCATCACTTAATGAAATTACATTGTAGTATTAACAGTGATTGTATGGGATTAGTATGTTACGCATACATGGTGAATTGAGTTTGTGTGTTTATCTTGTCTGACTACCATATCACCGGAATGGGATATAAATATACAGGTATATCAGGATATGGAACTCCTGGTTAGTTGACCGGCTACATAATACTATCACGAAAATCACTATTTAAAGGAGCTTCTCCTAAGGTGTACTCTCACCGTGCACTTCTGATTTAACAATGAATTCTACAAATATATGTGACATAAGAATGGATTTATCTATAGGAATGCTTTCCCCAGCCGATTGCTTTGTCCTAAGTTCGGAAAACACAACCTTGTCAAAATAATCCACGGGCTTCAGATCTCTAAAAGATACAAGGAAGATATTCATATTATTTTGAGATGAAAATACGAACTTGGGAAACCTTCTTCAAACCTTTAATAGTCTTTATCCCTCTACAAACTTCACACTAAAACCAGATTTAAACTAAACGGTTAATTTCCCTGATGCCCATCTCTGAAGAAGAGATGATAATTCGGTTCGAAAATCTACTTAAAAGAAAACCCACTTAGAATCAACACTGTTGATTCGAATTTGTGTCTCCTTGAGCACGAAGTGTTAATCTTGTCAATCCACTCTTCTCAAGAATAAGAATACATACAGGATACCATTGATGATGAACTAGAGATAGTGAGAGAAATTCTAATGGATACCCACTAAAATATATAGATAAAAATTTAAAACCAAAAAAACATCAAAACATTTTGCTCTGGAAAAAAAAAAACTCGAATTCAAGGATAATAATACGGTAGCCATCCTTAGGAAACGACCATCAAATTAATAAATAGAACATTTTTGCTGGCAATCTTACAATCCTATTCTTCTTTCAGAGAAGCTCATTCATTAGTACGCAAAGGAAAAGATGGAGGACTGGGTCACGTCAATATGTGTGTATATCAGTTTACTTACTTCTATGGGATTACGTACATCGACCTTACCATATGTCAGCTAGAGAAACGTGTTTATAAACACTATTCAGCCTAGCTGACAGGGGTTGAACAGAAATGCATTTCTTCAGCTCTGTAATGGAATACTTAGTCAACTCAGGACACTTGACTCCTTTTGTTAATTCCTTCAAAATTTTGTATAATACGCGACCAAACCACCCGAAAAGAGGAAGTATAAGACATTAACACTTGAAAAGTTAAGACCATTCTTTGTACGTCCAAGAGAAGTATGTACAACCTGTTTTCTTGGCATCCTTATCATACTTGATCTATTACTCTAGATGGTTTAATTATATTTTATCTTCGAGTCATCTGTTTACTGACCTATTCTAAATCCCTACTTATACTAATTAAATCTATTTTTATAAGGTGTATTTTGACCTTTGACCGGCAATTATTCAGGATTGATGGCAGTGAGGACAAATACTTAGTGATGACATTGAGTGGTGGTCGCGCTATGTCACTAACTGACAGAAGTTGGAAATATAGACCATTGGATTCCGACCCAGTGGTTGGCCATGGAATCGTAAGGTTCTGGATTCGATCCCTGTCGGGTCGAGGTCATGCGTACACACTGCTGAAGAATCCCACACTGGTTGGATGAATTAACTGTCCAGTGGTCCCAGGTTTCCAATTTTCCCTAACTGATGTTACTCCATAATGGATACCAACTTGAAAAAGGTTCTTTCCTTTCAACTTTAAGAGACTGAGTTCGTTCAATCATCAGCTAGTTACTATTACCTAGTCAAGTTTAATATAAAATTTCATTCAATGAATTCTGAAGACTGGGTGTTTGCTCAGTATGACAGAAAAAAGCACAAGAACATAAGCAGGTATCACCTTTCGACTTATTTCTGCAGTCATTGAGTTTCAGAAACCCTATCTAGTTACTCAGACAGTTGAGATAACTTTTTATAATATATTGTCACATCTTTACTTGACTAATATGGGACTAGTTTCATTTTTTCCTATTCTACTACTTGATTTATTTATGTGCTGTTGGGAAGTCTGGTAATAATTTGAACGAATAATCCGTCCTTCTTTTCTAAATCCCACATTGATTTATCTGATTCAGCCTGAGGTGACAGGCACTCTTACTTCACTTTAATTAATGTATTCATCACCACCAAGAAAAATGTGTTGATTACATATCTCCTTTTTGATGATGGATAGTGGCTAGGATTTGAATCTAGGACTCGGGTTTCATCCTATTCAGGAGTCGTCAGCTGGATATACCTGCCTGTAAGTGAGCAGTGTTTTTCCCACTAAGATTCGGACTTGAGACCGATCGCCTAAACGCCAGAGCATTATCCACTAAACTATCGAGTCACGATAACCACTTCTTGTGCGACGGGTGTAGTTTTAATGTTGTTGCTTGTATTATCCCTTCGTTGAGTTCCAAATAGGACGAAATACACCTCCTGTATCCCACTACTAGCCATTGTCTATGATTAATAGGTAATGGAAACATAGCCAATACCGAGGCATCCTCGCAGGAACCCATATCCCAACAGAGGACTGATCGATTCGGTTCACTCAATGACGAAATAACATAAGTAACAACATTATAATTCCTTCTTATTTTCAACTAAAGTTTCATTATTCTACTTACAATAATGTCGATGATAACAGCATTTCCATCTACCTACCTAGCTAGCTGATTTTCTTCTGTTTTTGTTGTTAAGGTGATTTACAAAAATTAGAAACACTATACTTAAATAACAACTTAAATTTACACGATCTACCTGCTGAACTGGCTATGTGTTGTAGTCTACAAATGATGTCTATAGAAAATTGCCCATTAACTCAAATTCCTGTTGAAGTTGTAACTGGTGGTCCCTCACTTGTGATTCAAGTAAGTTTTTAGTCGAAAAGAAAGAAACTTTTATTTTGTTTTTTTATTAAATTTTGTCTGTATACTTTTATTCAAATTAATTAACAAAGAATGATTTTAGGATAATCATATTCTATCAGGTCCCATTCATCATGAATGTATAATTCAGATGAGATAGTAAATGAAATTTACAAGATTTGAACAATCTTATTTAATGATGATCGGTAATCAGAGTTGGTTGAAAAACTTGTAGAATGGTACACCAGTTAGTTAGTTTATGAACCCATGGATCTTGCGTAGACGTTAATTACACTATCTGTTTCGCAAAACCTTACTAATTGAAACATGATTCAAATCTTTGAATTACTGACTATAAGTTTAACGACTTACGCGTGTTTGGCTTCTTTGTAGTCAACGAGCAAGCCGTGTGCTTCCTTCGTACTACTTGTAAACAAGCCATACTCACCAGTTGGTATGGAAAAAAAATATGAATAGCTTTGAATTTACTAATCAATGGGTATCAATAAACCCTCCGACAGCCTATGGCTTTCTCCTTTGTGTCTAGTTTTAAAAAAATGACATAAACTGGGCAGCCTAGTGGTGATTATCAACGACTCACTGTCAAAACGATCCCGAAGATAACAGTCATCACACTATCCGACCTATTTAAGTTTCTCCACATCCCTTTCGGACTACGGAATGCTGCACATACCTTCTAGCGTTTCATTTACAACGTCTTGTGGGGTCTAGATTTTACCTACGCCTACCCAGACGATATCGTAAGTGCCGAATTCAGTAACTGAGGTAAATTTCTTATTTTGATTGACATTCTTATAGGTTGGTAGATTGACTACTGGAACAATAATCTAAGGTGGTCGTGGTCCTCCTAGTCATGAATTGATTTTTTTCATGTGTGTCTGTGTATAGATATATTGAAGTCCGTCATCACACAAGTGATTCAGTTTCCTCGTTCTGCATACATTAAAAAGACACCATTAGAGTTTAAACTAGCGAAATAACCTCTACAACAGTGAATTTCCTTCAAACTAAATAACAACATCTACCTCTCCATCTGGTTTCTTAAAGTGTGACTTAATTTTCATCAAAAACTCGTCAATGTAGAATATGAAATTCTGTCATACTGTTGTTTTGTAAAGCTTAACGTTTACAGATGATAGCTGAAGTTCAAATTTTATATAAAATCTCTTTTTAATCGATGAATGAATAGTTTCCCGTGTACAAATCAAACGTCCCAACATACAGTTTCATACAGGTTTATGTACAGCTCTATGAGTCACAATTATTGCACTATTATTATTGCTTTCATTATTATAATTATTATTATTTGTCGTTTGGAACATAGGGCTTCATTAGCACGTCGCCATTTCACTCTCTTCTCCAGTCTTTTCAACCTGGGGACAAGACTGCCCAGAAGCCTTCATTTCTTCCTCACACCATCTCTTCCATGTCACCCTCGGCTCGAACGCCCAACTCATCGTTTCCCCTTTGAGTTCCACTAGACGGCCTGGCCTGGTCTGGTCTGGAGCGTGATGTCTCCAAATGGTCTTCTCAGTGTATGTCCAATCCAATCCACCTCCACTTTCTTCTGTATATTTGTTGCCTGAAAGGTTGTGGGTTAGTTCGTTGCCAGGTCAGAGTTCCTTGTTGCTCATTCTTTCTGGAGATTTGATCTTCAGTATCGAGTGAACGTAGGCGTCAGCTGTTGATGTATGTTTGTAGTTTGTTGGAAATGCTTTTCGTAACGCTCCAAGTTTCTGAACCATACAGAAGCACCAGCTTGACACTAGTGTTGAACATCCCCATCTTGTTTTTTATACTGAGTCCAGTAGATCTCCACACTGATTTCAGACTAATGAAGGTCTGTTTTATTGTGTTCCCGATCCTGGCTTTGACATCCTCATCTGTGCCGCCGCCGGCACCTGTAGTTGGAACGACGCTGCCTTGGTAGGTAGGTGAAGGAGACAACTTCCTTTAAATTTCTCCCGTTGACAGTGTTTGGTGCTTGTTATTGCTGTTGTTGTTGGTTGGCTTTCCTTCATCACCTCATCATCACCCGTCTTCCTTCACTGCCTCGCCCCTTCTGCCAACTTATTAGTTTTCACTTATATAGCTCTTCAAGTTTGTGCCACAAGACACTAGACACAAATCATCATCAGCGGAGAAATCCAAATCTTCTAGGGTCTCCGCGTCGGTCATCTCAAACAGCGAGTCTCCATCTTCTCACAGCTCCTCACTGTTGTCCGTTACATGATCCAGTCCAGTGCAGTCCAAACCAGTCCAGTCGACCACAATCAGGAGGATGATCGGTGATGACAGTAGGCGGCAACCTTGTCTTACTCCTGTCTTCATTTCAAAGGCATCACTACTCACCTTTCCATTGTGAATCACTCGGAATGTGGCCTCATAATATAGCATAGCATATAGATGTTGAATGAGGTTGATATTGGTTTGTGGCACTGAAACCGTAGTGTTGAATCAAGTAGCTGCCAGATTACTCCCTGGTCGACGCTATCGAAGGCCTTTTCAAGATCGATGAAGTTGAGGTAAAAATCCAGTTGATTGCCATTTAATGTTCTGTTATATGATGATGCTTAGCGTAGCGTTGGAATTTGGTCTGCACATGAGTTGTACTTCTTGAATCCAGAGCATTTTTTAGTCTCTACGGGATGATACGGCATATTATTTTACTTGTGCTGGGCAACATTTACTGTACTGTTGCTTATGATACTAAGCTGCTGTTTAGGCTTTAGTAACCGGAAGGCTATTTCACCCTGGTATCCATATCTGTTTAAGTGTCTATTAGATTCATCCTTAAAGCGTTCCAAAAGTGATATATAGTTGTTTAATTTTAGCTTTATAGAGATTTAGCTGTTCCATCCTGGTTTTGGACCCCTTTAGAATACACACTGGACTATGCTAGGGATTGAACGCAGAACCTTCAGGTCTCGCAGTGAATGTGTTAGTTATTCATTCACTGATTTGAAATTCAATGGTTCACATTTTTTACCTCCCTATATTGATTTACTATATTGCGTGACTATGTATTATAGTCTTCATTTGGCCATCAGCTTCACTTGGGATTAGTTGACCCTGCAGGTCACGATTTGTCATCACGGAAGAATATGGGCAGGTGTTTCGTTTCGGCTCCCCAGAAGTTGATGATGAATACTACTTTTCAATATATAAAACCCTCAGCCCTTCTATATGGTTCAGAAACTTGGAGCGTTACGAAAAGCATTTCCAACAAACTACAAACATACATCAACAGCTGACGCCTACGTTCACTCGATACTGAAGATCAAATCTCCAGAAAGAATGAGCAACAAGGAACTCTGACCTGGCAACGAACTAACTAAGAGATGGTGTGAGGGAGAAATGAAGGCTTCTGGGCAGTCGTGAAGCTGTTGTGGTCAGACGAAAATTAAGATTGTGATGCATACAGAAGGGTATTAGCTCCACTAGGTTGATAACTTTATGTATGGTCTTCAGTAGGCTTAAAAGTGATAGAACTTTGTGATCTGATCTACTTGAATTTTTTCGTCATGTTGTATTTTACCCGTGAATACAACAGCCTCATCAGAAACCTATGAAACAGCGATTTAATCTAACTAAGCTGTAAGTGAGTAGAACAATCGGAGAAATGCAGAGTAAAACTGTAGTTTTAGTATATATAATTGCTTGTGTTATACCATCGTTCATTTGACGGAAATGATCGGTGTCTATTAGCATATGGCCTCCTGTGCGGATGCCTCGATATTACCATTGTTTTAATTAATATGCATCCTGGATTCCACTGTCCATCATCACTATAATTCAAACTATAGTTGTTGTTAGAGCTGGCAACGAACTAACCAACAACCTATCACCCAACAAGTATGCAGAAGAAAGTGGAGGTGGATTGGATTGGACATACACTGAGAAGACCATTTGGAGACATCACGCTCCAGACCAGGCCAGGCCAGGCCGTCTAGTGGAACTCAAAGGGGAAACGATGAGTTGGGCGTTCGAGCCGAGGGTGACATGGAAGAGATGGTGTGAGGAAGAAATGAAGGCTTCTGGGCAGTCTTGTCGCCAGGTTGAAAAGACTGTGGAGAAGAGAGTGAAATGGCGACGTGCTAATGAAGCCCTATGTTCCAAACGACAAATAATGATGACAATTGTATATATATATATATATATATATATATATATATATATATATATATATATATATGCATAACTGAAAGCGCTTACTTCAGAGAAACTTTATCTTCAGGTGGTACCATGTTTTCATCTGTTGTTCGTTTTTTTAAATTTTGCAGTATCTCCGTCTACAAGGTTCTTTCAGTCACATCTAAATTACCAAACAATTTAAATTATCATTCGTAAATTCCAAGATCTTTGAGAATCGAATTTCCGCCTGCGGTAATAATAATAATAATAATAATAATAATAATAATAATAATAATAATAGTGTCATTTTAATTCTACACACTTCACATGGATTCTTACTGTCATACTTGCTGGCTGGTACACACATATATCTGTGTATTTATAAGTTGACGGTATATATCTGTACATTTTCAGTGTTTTAGAGAACTTAATGATTTTACATGTCACTTATTTTTTTAAATATACTGAATTCGATCAGTGTTTCTTTAACATTTCATACAGATATACATTTGAATGATTATGTTTAAAGTCGTGCATACTGCTGTGTAATCATTTGTCCATCTCTTTGTTGATCTCTGTCTGTTTTCCTTTCATTGTTCAATTAACTCACTATCTATCCATAGAAGTTAGACAAAAAGTGGCGGCCGAATAACACAAAACACGATTATTTTTTCATCGAAAAGGTTAGTATTCTTTCGCTACTGATGCTTTCTCTCTGTGTCTGTCTGTGTGTCTATACGCGTGTGGTTATTGCAGCAAATAATGTATTATTAGTCTTTGTATTGTTTTGTTTTAATTTCCTCGAGAACTCTTCATCTTGTTGCTAAATTGATTTAATTTCTGTCTAGTCGAACTCTGCGTGTACTTATGCATTTAACATATACGCCTTATTATCTAGATGTTCCAAATTCACACTTGTTGTTCACGTACTTGATATCACTTTTTATTTTCTATTTGCTTGATTAAATAATTCCTCTTAATGTTGTCTATTGTCTTGATTTATTTCTTTGCTTGGTTATTGTTATAGAGTTGGTAGTGTAAAGAAACTCACTAGGCTACAATCTTGTTGACATGAATAAGTTAACACCTTTTTTGGAATTCTTCATCTTGATATGCGTCATCATCATTCATCCTTCATATTTTTATCCTTTTCTTCTTGAAATAAAAACTATTCCTGTAGATTTTATTTACACAGATAAGGAATACTTAATGTTCAAATTTCAAGCAATAAGTCTCTCCACACTCTTTTTACTCGTTTACTGTAGAAAATGTGGAGGTGAACACATGTTGAAATGTGTCTTTTGGCTAGAAGTCTATAAGCCTTGTAAATGTATAATATACTGTATGGAAATAACAGTTTTCTTCAATAACTTCTGCAAAAAACAAGTTCATTGTATACAAAACCAACCGATATATATATATATATATATATATATATATATATATATATATTAGTTAGCGCGTTAGTTGACTTCATTTTGTTCAATTGCCTAATCCATGAAACATGTTTTCCCAAATAGTATTATATATATAATAAACACTTTTTTTAACATCATTCTTTTCGGTGTTCAATTCCATCTCTATTACACCATCTTGTTTTTCTTCTGTGTGTGTGTGTGTGTGTGTGTGTGTGTGGTTTGTCGACAGTGCCGATTTGACGATTCATTTTTATCGTTGTGTATTCACCTTTAATCTTTTAACTGTTAGGTATAACATGGACATTTTAATTTTTACTCATTTCCTTACCTTCTAATATGTATGTTTTGATAAGTTGACTTTAGCAAAGAAAACTATTCTCAAAATGTTTTATTGTCAAAATGGTCCTACCGATTGATGTAATTCAATGGTTTAATTGGTTGATTATTGTTATGTCTCTCAGGGGATCCTGTCGCCATAATTGACTTTAAAGACGGCCACCTGAATAACTGCTGAAATAAGCAATTTCGTTTGTTTATTTTATGAAAAACTTACCTTCTTAGCTGAAATATCGACACTTAATTGGTTATTTCAGCAGTTGTTGGGGTGACCTTGAAAACCACTGTCACCACTATTATATCCTTGTTTTGACGGTTTCACCGCTGTTATTGGTCTTCACCTTGACCCGGGTTTCTCATTGGGTTCTTTCATCAATGAACTGAGGGAGATGCCCAATGGTTGTCCTAAACCGGTATTATTTCTCGAGTTGCTATGTGCGAGTTGATCTTACAGCCACTAATGTTACACTAGCTGACTCAGAGAGAAGACGAAAATAGACGGCTAGCCAACACAACGCACAATTATTTTCTATGTAGTAAAATATATAGGAAATATACGAGTTACTCCAAAGGTCATAAAGACGAGATAAATATGTAAAGGCAATTCGTAATTGACTGATTGTTTCTGTCTACGGATACAAAAATCATTATCTACTCGAGTTAAATTGTGTGAATGAACAATTCATTGATATTCGGTTTTAAGGCAAATGGAATTCGGTTTATAACTAAGTCAATGCACAACCAACCCCCTCTTAAAAATATCCTTACTATATTTTGAGGTAAATGGGGACTTTAATTTAGAGATATTATTCACGATGGACTGACATCAGTTGGGGGACCACTGAAGACCCAGGAGCACTGAGCAGTTGTTTCGTCCTAGTATGGGGTTCCTCAGTAGTACACATCCACGACCTTGCCAGGGATCGAGTAGTTAACGCATTTCCCACAAGACTTGAAGGTCTTGGACTTGCTCCGTGGTGCGGTCGTGGGTGCACATTCCGGAGGAGTCTCACATCAAGACGAAACAAGTGTAATGTGTCCCGGGGTTTTTTAGTGGTTCTCCCCGACCGACAGCTGCCACCTTGCATATTACAATGAGCTACACTGGCTCGTCTCATCGAGGTCCTACCATACCAGAAACATCTGTTAGATAGTGGTTACACACAAGCAGATAGTATTATAGTCCAAATTGTTACGCTGTAATAGGGATCTGAGGGGAAAGTCGTACTGTTGACTGGACATGCGTATGTGAGCAGTAAGGTATTTCCATTGGTTGACCAGCAGTGCCAGGTGATACTGCCTTCCCAGGGGGAAGGGGTGTTCAGAAAATAGTCAGCCCGCAAAACAGAGTATTCCTTCCTGACCTACAGTCTCCCAATACCTACAATAATTCATAATCGGATTCGAAGGAAAGCAACCAACATCTCAAACTTGCAAAAAGACCTTGTACGACCGACCTCGACCAGATGTCCCGCGGACTCTGTGGTCACGTACTACCCCTCCTTTTTTGGATACTTCGAGAAGAACTAGTCTTCCACGATGTGGGCAGCTGGAAAGTGTCGACCGTTGGCTTGCTTCCAGTGATATATAAGCTTAAATCAAACAATCTACCCTCTGTCTTCTCCTTTGTCTTCGTCGCTTGATACTAATATTTGGTTTGTGACACTTTCCTAAACCTCTCACTCTGCAACCATTTCCAGTGACCGAATCATCAAAACCTTACTTCTAGTCTCCTAAGACCCTTCCATCCATTTCATGTTAGGACTTTCAACGTCCGAACTCCATACCAAGTCGGACAGTAAGCATTGCTAACCAGAACTCGTGAGTCTGGAACCATGGATGGATGCTATATCCCTGAAACTCGTATACAGGATCGGATTTTAGTTACTAAATTAACTTCACCTAGCCAATGTGATGGATCTTTAAGACTCACCTTACGAGTATCCGGAGATCCAGTGGCTAGCTCTCATGGACTTGCTGATGTAGGCATAGCAGCATTGAGTTGTAGATTACAAAGTGCGCTTTTCGACTGGATAACGGTCAAAAGTTCCCTATCTGCTGTTTGACTGAATAGTTCTTAAAGAACTCGGAGAGATCGTGAAATGAACCGATGCCTATTCGTTATCTCCGAATGCAGTCTGGATGATGCAAAATATGACTTCTATGAAAAACTGTCAATGTTTATACAGAAAGCAAAACCTTCAGATATAGTCATAAGGGCAGGTGACTGACAGTAACGCTCAAGTAGGAAAGCTAAGCCAATCGAAAAAGCATCCTGAATGCATTTACAGAACCCCATGCCAACGAGAGGACAACAATGATTGTCTTCTGCAGTTTTGTTCTGATAATCATTTGTTTCTGTTCAGCTGTAGCTTCAAGTATAAGGAGAGCTACTGTCTCACATGGCGTCCACCAGTTTCAAATCTATGATGGACAGGCAGATCATATTGGTATCAGCCATCGTTAGAGACTTCCTGCTCTTTCTCGAGTACTAGTTTGAATTTCAACCACGTGCTAGTTCGGACTCGTGTAAGTCTGCGCCTTGCTGGCCACAGAAAACAAACGGCAGTCAGACTTATCCTTGCTCGATTTGATAATGAAGACACCAAGTACCCATTCAAAGAGGAGTTAGCTAAGCATTCATCTCATTATGATAGCAATGCTCATCCTGCGGAAGCCTAGCATGATATTAGATCTGGTGTTGGAACACCGGTAAAGACAGTTGGTAACCAATACCCGGTGGTTAGCAAACATCGTTGAGTTTCCGCGACGTAACCTGATCTGATTGGTGCGAGAAAACTGATTTCAGTTAACTGGCTCTGACCAAGATGAAGAGTGGTGGCAAATTAAACATCAGTTGACCAAGATTTTTCACAATTATTGCGAGTAGTGGCGAAAGCGAGAGAGATTCAGAATACATCATCTTTGGGTAACACCTGGGAAGTATTTGGGCTTACTAAGGATGTTGACAAGTAGATAATGGTTAGTGAAATCGCCATCGAAATGGATGATACGTTAATAACCTCCCAGGATTAGCAGTAGAACGGTGATCAGAAAACTTTGAAGCATAGTTCAGCTGACCCATAGCAAAGCTCCAGTTGACCAGTATCAATCCTGTACCTTAATGTGACGTAGACGTCGGTCCTCTATCTGTTATCAAAGTTGAAAAGGCTGTATCGAACCTGAAACGAAGGAAAGCAGCTGGGTCTGACAGTGTGCCACACGAAGTTTGAAAGGATGGATGTTGGAAATGCGTGATAAGTGACTGAGGCGCCAGAAAGTGTATGGGAATCAGAGGTGATGCCGTCAGACCGTTCTAGTTCACTAATCATCCTGGTGTATACGAAGGGTGAGAAGTCTTCCTGCAGCAACCATAGCGGAATTAGTTTGGCTGACATTGTATCAAAGATCCTTGCATCCTTAGTTATCCG